CCTTTGTAATTTCTCTAAGAGCAATTTGGTCATAAAACCAATTTTATAATCCCATATAATTCTCAAGGAACATTGTCCTTATTTTTTCTTAATTTTCTGAGGCTTGAAAATATTTTTTCATAATTATTCTTGACAAATTTTTCTTAATTAGTCAAACTTTTCATAATCGACTTGGAAGATTATAATAATTATTTTCCACCATAATCTTCTATTTCTCCTTATTCTTTTTGGCCTTTAAATATTTAGAAATATTCCTATTCCTAAATGTCATATTACTGGATGTGACATATTGACTCCTGTAAATATCACAAATATGAAATCTTGAACAAGCAATAATAAGGCCAAGCTTCAGAAACATCTAACACTCACCAAAATCTAATTTGAACAATCCACTCAAGGAAAAGGGAGGGACCATATTTGATTCCTGTTTTACCTTCATGCTCTTGGGCGTGCTGGAAAGCCCTCGTTTCGCCATTATGATTTCCAACCTTCCACCAAATGCCTAGATGAAAACCGAAAGCCAAGAACATAAATTGAAAATTGAAAATTGAAAATTGAAAATTTATGATCACGTCATAAATAGATACGAAAAATTGAAAATTTACCGCTTGATTACTGCAAGAACAACCCTGCATTCCTAGAGTGTCTATCCATATTAAATATGTCTATGATTAACGCATAGACTTCTAAAATTCAATTACCATGGCCATAATTTGATGAATTAACACTTAGATTAAAAATCCATCCATTGATCCTTATTACTTCATTAAAACATAGTTATTTGCTTGCTATTGAATTTGTGGGAATTGTAAATTATAAACAAATGGAAGATTTCCATAACTTGTTTACGTTTTCATAGCTTTTCAAGCAAATATATCAAAGCATCTACAAAATCCATCACTTGGCAGATTCAACAGGTAAACATATGTTTTTAAGTCATGACGCCGAAAATAAAAATAAATGACAGCTTCTCATCTCCAAACTAAACAATCACATTACGAACAGTTGTTACCCTAGAATAGTTTGTGAGGACCTGAAAAATTCGTAGGGTTGACGAATGCAGGATACAAAATGTTTCAGATTATTACAAATGCTGATAAGAAAAATGCAGAGACTCTTGGTCAAGATACAGAGAATGCTAACAAATTGTACATCAATATAAATAAAGTCCAACCGAGAGAACAGAGTAAAGAAGCAATAAGTGAAAGCAAAGAGAGCAGAGAAGAAAGTCTCCGAACGAAGCTTTCGGAGCATACATTACTCACCCTCCTCAGCCGGAAAAAGAATGTCTCCACTAACCCCTCTCTCCACTTGCTCTCCACTTAATGTTTCTATCATTAGAACAAACTTCAATAGCTAAGATTTATTTTATAAGAATATTATTAAAATATTAAATAATAAATAAAAATATATAAATAAATTTATACTGTTAAGTGTTAAAATTTGACATAAGTAGTTTAATATGATAAATTTTTATTATATTTAATACTATAATAATATTTTTACTCAATTTTAAATCTCAATCATTGGCAATTAATCTAATAATAAAGAAATTAAGTGGAGAGGGAAGGCAGTGGAGACATCCTTCTTCCTCCTGGGCCACCTTTCACTAGTTTGAATTGGGGCGGAAGCTCTAACAAGCTAACGCAGATGAGAGAATCAAATTCAGAGACGCCACGTGGCACATGCGAAGCCTGAACCGAGAGACTTTGTGGTGATTATTGAGATAAATAATCAATATATGTTGGTCCAAAAAGGGAAATATAAAAAACCTAGGTGAACTTGTCAAGTTCTTCTATCAGACATTGTTTTGTTTTTTCCTGAAAAAATGACACAAAAATGACACTTAAACTTGAAAATGCTAAAATGGTCACTTGAATTTATAACATCCCAATTTAGGCACAAGTGACCAATTTGACATTTCTAAATTTATTGATTTTTCCCTTTATCTTATTTATTATTTTTTTTAAAAACAAAATGCCCCCACTAACCAACGGTAACTGAAGCTCTGGTGGTTGCTGTCACTAGAGCTCCAGCGGCCTCTGCCAATCGGTCGCTGGAGCTTCGGTAGCTAGTAACAATTTTTTTTAAAAAATTTACAACTTCAGTAAAATGGTTAACAAGTTTTGTAATGCTATTAACAAGTTCAATATAGTAGTTAATAACAGGTTTTTCCAAAAATTCAAAAAGTATAATTTTTACAACTCCAGTAATGCCGTTAACAAGTTTCGTAACTCTATTAACAACTTCGGAATAGCATTTAACAACAGGTTTCCTAAAAAATTAAAAAAAAGGTATTTTTACAACTCTAGTAACTATTTTTTTGAAATTTTTACAACTTTAGTAAAATAATAACAAGTTTTGTAATATTATTAACAAGTTCGGTATAGCATTTAACAATAAGTTTTTTGAAAAATTTAAAAAGAGGCATTTTACAACATTAGTAATGCGGTTAACAAGTCATGTAACGATATTAACAACTCTCATGACTATAACAGCTGCCTAATAAGTAGAAAAATTTTGTTGTACAACTTTCATAGGGAGCTAATATCAAAAACATCAACCTTTATGAGAATTGTTAATATCATTACATGACTTGTTAATCATGTCACTAAAATTGTAAAAATGTCACTTTTTAAATTTCTAAGAAAACCTATTGTTAAATGCTATACCGAAATTATTAATGGAGTTACGGAACTTGTTAAAGGCATTATTAAAGTTGTAAAAATGCTACTTTTTGAATTTTCTAAAAAAACCTATTGTTAACTGCTATACTAAACTTGTTAGTAGTGTTTCAAAACTTGTTAACTGTTTTACTAAAGTTGCAAAAATTTTCCAAAAAAAAAAGTAGTTACTAAAGTTGTAAGAATACTTTTTTTTTTTTAATCTTTTAGAAAACCTGTTATTAAATGCCATACCAAAATTGTTAATAGAATTACGCAACTTATTAACAGCATTACTAAAGTTGTAAAAATGCTATTTTTTGAATTTTCTGAAAAACTTGTTATTAACTGCTATACTGAACTTGTTAATAGCGTTACAAAACTTATTAACCATTTTACTAAAATTGTAAAAATTTTTAAAAAAATGGTTGCCTGTTACTCAAGCTCTGGCCACCGATTGGTTGTGGCCGCCTGAGCTTTAGTGACAGCAGCCACCTAAGCTCCAGCGACTAGCCGACCAGTGAAAGCATCTGGTTTTTTAAAAAACAATAAATAAAATAAAGGGTAATATGGTCATTTCAATAAATTTATAAACGTAAAATTGGTCACTTATGCCTAAATTGAGATTTTGCAAATTCAAGTGACCATTTAGGCATTTTCAAGTTCAAGTGTCATTTTTGTGTTATTTTTCCTTCTTTTTTTTGTTTTATATAAATTTATAATTAAATGCTGTCAAATGCTAATATTTGAAAAATAAGACACATGGTTATATATGATTAGAAAACTTAACATAATAAAAATTAGTAAGTAAATGTACGTATTTTCATATCAATACGTGTATTTTTTTCAAAAGGAAAATATTGCCAATTTATATAGGGTGGTGTTTGGATGAAAAACTAAACTATGACTTTAAAAATAATTTTATAATATATAAAATAAATATGCAAAAAATTTATCTCAATTTATATAAAAAAAATACTTTTTAAAAGTATTTTTAAGGAGTTCCAAACCATTATAGTCATAGATTCGGGCCTTGAGCATGAGAGATCCCAATGGATTTATTTGATTATTAGATGTGGTCGGGTTACGGACCCTTTTCTCCAGTTTCGAACTTTTATATTTTATGATGTAATAGTCCTTTCTGAATTTTAACATTTTGGGTTCAATTCATGGGCCATTTAAACAAATGAATTTCGTAGAGATTATTCTCTCACTATTTAATAGTAATTTATTTTTTTGTACCAACAAACAATAATAATTTATCTTTTAGGAATTCAATTTACAAAATTTTAAAATAAATCTGTTTATGTGGAAAAAAAGGTATATATTTGCTCCGTTACATAAGTTTGACCAAGGCCAAGAATTACTTCCAAGTTCAGATTTTCAGTTTAGTGCCAAATAGGCGATCCTCTAAAGAGCATGCTCTTCCTGAACTCTACATATCTTTGGCAGCTTGAAAACTTTGATCATATTCATTAGTGCATTAGAAATTTTCATCCTTGACTCCATATGTTTAGGTGAAAGTATTGAGTCAGCATTTTTTAAATAATATATATACACAGAATTTGGTACAAAACTTGTACATATTATAAAAGAATTTAACAAATTTTATTGTCATGAACCATGAACATATAATGCGGCTTATGTTTTAAATCATGTGCAATAATGAGAATTTTATTTAAAAAAAAATATATTTGATGTATAATATATTTATATATTTATAATAGATTTAACCTTTGTTTTGGATAATTTGAGCCTGCCTTGAAATTATTCGAGCTCGCATTAACGCAATAGAAACTAGAACCAACATTGACATAATGTTAAAACTTTCAATACACTAGTAACAGACAGTATCGAGTTGGCGGAAAAAAGAAAAGAAAAAAAAGTATCGAAATGGAGGCATATATGATATAATATTGTGCTGTTTATGACAGCAGCGGATCTAGGAACCTTTACGATGATGAACAAGCAGCTGACTTGCAGCTTAACAATGGACAACACAACTTTAATCTGTATTTCACAGGTTATTGAACAAGCAGCCTGAACCTTATACACAAATTGAAGTGTGACATGTCCCTGATTCAGTTACAATGAGAATGGAAGAACCAAGACCTCTTATAAGTTGCTGACTTGCGGCTGCTTTTAACATGGAATCATAGCAATGGGACTGACGCAACACGATGAATTGTTGGCGTTTAATAAAGATTGATTTTTCAAAACAATATCATAACAAGCGCGACCGAATGAGAATTTTAATATATATATATATATATATATAGAAGACAATATGGGTGTATCTTTTCAAACAAATCCTTAGGGGATGTCAGAACAATCTGCTCAGCAGGCGATGTCGTCAAATTCCTCAAACGGGGAACTGTAAATTCCTGGATGACTGGGAGAAGCCAGTTCAATTATATCTGGGCCAATACTCGCTGAAGGTTCAATCTCAAGTCCCATAGACAAAATTGAAAGATTTGAATCGCATGTTGGCACGGCCATCTGGTTTATACCGTCAGCTAGAGTAGAATTTATCGCATAGGAGGCTGGTAAGCAAGTGTCGCCCCCCCTGCAAGTGATTCCAGATGTAGTTGAAATATAGTTAAGCTTGCAACTACACGTTTTTTATATATATATATATATATATATTTGTATAAGCTTATAAATAAACAAAGATACGTGGAATAGAGTCATGCATATATACCTGCTGGTTCGCTTGGCAATATGCTTTTCATTCGCGAATATGCTCAAACCAGAAGGCGGTGACGCTGTAGATTTTAACGATGCCAAGGAATCAAGGGAAACCGTTATGCCATAGATATAAATTTCACTTAGTAAAGGAAAGGAAAAAGAGGTTGTGACATTCACGATGAATAACAAGATATGTTAAAATTACAAATAGATGTAAAATTACCTGGATGATGGCAAATATCATCATCATCATCTACCCAAGATTGAGACCTTAAGTCGACGTGATTGTTCATGGATGATTCTGTTTCCCTGTAGATTTGTCTGCAAGTGTGATGACCATGGTAGGTGATATTGTAAAGGTCAGGAATATTGTCATCTCTCTGCACTTGTTTGAAAGCTCGGCAACCCTCGACATTTTTATGAGTGCATCTGTAATATTCTCTGCGCATAGACCACAGGGAGCATAAACCAAAAAGAGGCATGTAAATAGCTAGTTTACATTTAGAAAGAGTCATACATAGATGTGAAGTAAGTCATGATTCATGGATAATTGAAAACAGCAGTACCTTGAAATTTTGGAATTAAGAATTTTTTTTTCGCCACATTTTCTCCAACTAAACCCATCGTCAAGAGACGGAGATATTATCGTCCATCTTGCTTCCTTGGTCCTTCCATAATTTAAGAATCGTTTTAGAAAATACAACTACTTTTTGTAAGCCTAAAGAGGTAAGGCAAATGACACATAGTTATGCATAGACATACCCCTTGTACTTGGAGACCCTGCTTCCGGAAGACTGTGGAGGCTCAACCACTATCTCATTTGTTATGATAGACCTCATATCCTCGGAGACCTTGCCACTGGAAGACTTCAGTGGCTCACACACTATCCCCCCTATCGCAATCCCATTTCACAATGATAGTGATGGATTAAACCAATTGTCATATGGATCATTGATAATTCATCATATTTGAGGAAGTAAATGAGGTTATGACAACACAGTAGCAATAAAAAAAATTAAATTAAATTAAAATCAAATATCAGTTAGATTTACCTGGACAGTCATCAATATCATCATCCAACTCTAGTTGACTCATAATGTCATCCTGTTTATTAATTGGAGAAAAGATGCAATCAAAAACAGATGGCCGGCCAACTGTTCCCCATTCTGCTTCACTCCACATCAATGCTTTCCACCACTTGGCTTCTCCTTTGATGGCTTTCAAATTCTGACTTGACAGTTCCATTTTGGAAAGCCTCTGAAGTTTTGGGCAATTATAAATTCCTATGTTTTCTAAACTTGGACCCATGTGTAATCCATTAGAAATGCTGATCAATTCAGGAAGATGGAGAAGTGCTATTGTTCTTAATTTTGGGAGGAAAGTGCCTGCTCCAGGTTTGGTTGGTCCATAAGTTATTAAAGCACCTATTTTTGGACAATCTTTAACTACAAGCACCTTCAAGAGTGAAAGGTTGCCCAGAAAATCCAAGGTGAAACAGTTGTTAACTTAGAACAATTGTGCAATGCTAAGGTCTTCAACATACCAAAGCTGTGACTGGAATGAACTTCTCCTTCACAAATGCTTCTTAGATTCTTCATGTATGATACACTCAACACTAGCAAACGGGGAAGTATATCTTTACTGCTCGAGCATCTTCCATCAATAATTGTTTGCATCTCCTTACATTCAGCCAATATACACACCTGTAATTGCTCTATACTCGTCATGCCAAATTTTGAGAGATCCTTGATGGTCATGTGTCTGTCTAAAAATAAAGCCTTGCTATGTCTAACAACACTTGCTATTTCATAAGGGACATCAACACCTTTCACAAACTTTATGCTACGCTCACTTTGTTTAAATTTTTCTTCAGCTGTGGGCAGTGTACCTGAAATGATCCTTGACATATGTCTGCCAATAATGAATCTAAAATCAAGCTCAAAAATGCGTGCAGGCATGAGATATAAAAGTTCTATCATTGGAATGTAAAAACTAATAGTTTGCAAGCATTCTAATACCCAGAGTTCTGGTAGAATGACTTGCAAATTCTCTTCCCATCGCTCATCATCGGGGTTTACGTCAATGCTTAAATGTTTTAGGCCTTTAAGCTTTGAAATCACCCCAGAAGGAATAATTGTTGAGCTGGTATATTCTTTACTTTTCTTGCCACGATACTCGTACAAACAAAGAGTCAAACTTTGGAGGTTGGTCAATTCCTGGATCTCTTTTGGCAAATGTGTAATTTGAGTCTTGTCAAGGTCAATCTTCTCTAGATTCTTCAATTTCCCAACCTCTGAGGGTAGTTTCATGAAGCATTCACAAGATTTCATATAGAGTTCCCTAAGTTGCTCCAACTCAAAAAAGGAGTTCGGTAATTCTCTAATACTAGTGTAGGACAAATCCAAGACGCAAAGTAGAGGCATTTTAAAGAAGAAATGGGGTGGGATTTTTGTCAAATCAGCATTGTTGTGCAACTTTAACACTTTGAGTTCATGACAATCCGGGGAAAAAGGTAGCTCAAACAGCTTATTGTCTGCCAAGTCAATATATATAGCACTATGCCATAGCTCACTCTTTGGTGGTTCAACCAACCCCAACTCAGATTTTTTCATGATCAAAGGATTCTGACTGTTTAATAATTGCAAGATATCATATATCTCTTGTGGAATTTGAATATACCTTGACTTCTTGTCCTTTAGTTGCAACAAGGCAAAACGGTCCACAAGCTCTGTCAGATTATGCTTGGCTTCTCTAGCACCCACTAATCGAGAAGAAATCCAATAATTTACCAACTCATTTTCTGGCTTCCCAAATTTAGAAATGAATAAGCATGATGTAAGGCAATATTTCTGTGTCTTACTTAAATCATGCCAGATGAAGTTTATGAATGCTTTATTTAAGACACTGCTCTGGCCTTGAAATGTACCGATGTCATAGGAAGGATGAAGCGAACTCAATTTGAACAAGGCAAGTTCCCATTGTGAAGCATATATTTCCTTCCTCAGTAATCTTGCCACAATGACACCGGCAAGAAGATGAGCACCGCATTCTTTAACTATACGCACAGCCATTCTCTCAGCGCTGGATAATGGTAAAATCGGAATTCCGATGTTTGTACAGATAACTTCCCACGGCAATAAGTGATCCGTTGTGTTGATATTCAGAGCCATTGCCACTGTTAATTCACTATTAGCCCGCTTCGAAGATTCAGTGGTAATGCACACCACAACTCCTGCAAGTTCTTCAGGAAAACCCACTTTCCAAGGATCAAGAGGCTCTTTGGCTTCTCCATCCACCAAAAGCACCAAGTATTTTTTTCTTGACATCTCTTTCTCAATGCTTGTTTTAAGCAAATCGTCATTGCCTTCTATCAATGGAAGATGAAATTGTTGAGCTATCTGCTGTTGAACATGTATCTCCGCAGCAAGACCTTGGTAATCTGAGGCGTCGATGAGTAAGATTCTGGAGAAGGTTTCATGAAGGCGAAGTAGAATTTCCTTGTCTTTCAAGACTGATTCTATTTTTTTCTTAACTAGTCTTTTTTCAGTTGCATCTCTTGTAGAGAACAGGACATGGTGAATGTTTCGTACATGATCATCCTCAGACAATAAAGTTTGAACCAATTGATCCACAGCAAGATTCACAGATAAATTGAGAATATCTTCTGGTGTCCCGTCAGAATAAATATAGTTGGGACTCCAACCCCTTTCCACGCTCTTCAGTACGTACACTGGTAAAAGGCCTTGGAAGCATTCAAGAGGCTTCTGATTGAGAAGGCGGTTCAAATCATCCAAAGAATGTCTCCTTCTTGAAGCTTCTTGAATCCAAGCCTTGAGTTTGCTATCGTGCACTGTTCTCATGGGATAATTCAACAGTAGCCTGATAAAATCTCTTATCCGGCTTACCTTTAGTGGCAATATAGGCCTCAGTTCACTCAGTGGAATGCCAAAAAAATGTGGGTTTGTTTCTATCCTGGGAGGATTTGGCCGCTTTGGTTTGGGAAGACCGAATGGCTCTGCTTTCACAAATGGCTCCACTTTTTCTCCTTTGTGAAAATCAAATGTTCCCCCTGTTTCTATTTCCTCCAGTTTGGCAAGACCGAATGGCTCTGCTTTCACAAATGGCTCCACTTTTTCTCCTTTGTGAAAATCAATGTTCCCCCTATTTCTATTTCCTCCAGTTTGGCAAGACCGAATGGCTCTGCTTTCACATATGGCTCCACTTTTTCTCCTTTGTGAAAATCAAATGTTTCCCTTGTTTCTATTTCCTCCAGTTTGGCAAATGGATCCAGAGCTTGTCTTGTCGGTGGCTCCATTTTGGTGTCTCCATGTGCTTTGATATCATTAGGATTCATTTGCTCATCGCTACCCTCCATAGAAACTCCAGAGATAAAATATTTCCTGCATAATGAATAAGAGGATGACAGGAAAAAGAATGTCATCCCAAAAAAGAAAAGTGATGATTTGAACATAATCAATCGATTCATTGGACAGCCTCTCTAGCTTTGGATGCATCAAAGAAACCTTGGACTTCATAATTCTGATGTGCCAGAACCTTAAGAAGAATATTGAAGTCTATACATCACAAGCTTCTATTAAACTCACTGATATAGATATGTATTATTGCGTTAAGTTTTAAAATCATAACATGCATGTTTGCTTTAAGAAGAATATAAAAATCTATGCACTGAGACATGGATTCTGTGTTGAATCAGTTTCTAATCTTCGGTCACGTTTTCAATCATATTTCAAAAAAATCTCGTTGTGTTATAACTTCATTGAGAAGTAAGATTTCAAGAGCTTTCCAATCATCTATCATTTACATAGCTTGGAGATATGTTCAACGTTGAGAACTAGCCAAATTGTTAACGTGTTAAACCTGTTGTCTGATGCTTCACACTATGAACAAATAATTTTCTATTCCTCCGTACTGGGCCTTTCTAATGCTTTAATCCAAATTGAATTGGGTTGGCAAAAAAAAAAATCCAAATTAATTGGTGTTTTGAATTCAATTCACGAACTAATTAAGTCATCTGGACAAACACGTCACCCAAGCTTTTCAAATCCATTTGTGACCAAGAGAATCTTCGATGCACATTTAGGTTGCTGAAACAAAGATTAATATTCCGTTAACGGAATACTTTTCATCAACCAAATATATTTTAATTCGTCTGACCAAAAAAATCAATCCTTGCCAAATTTTCTCCCTTCTTTCTTGCTGGGCTGACAGTTTCTACTCTCTATAGCTATGGCCAATTTGAGTCAATGTTTCTATTTTTTTTTCACTAGGAAATCAATTAATTGACCAAAAATCTTTACTGTTATAAAATATTATTTCTACATTAATGAAAGTTTTATTATCACATCATATATTATCTTTAAAGATCTTAATCAAAGTTAATCATAGTTCTTGAAAAAGAAAAATTGGCCCCTTTGAATATTTTATTTGTTAGAAGGACCGATAAACTTTTTATACATAAAAGTGCCTCAAAAATTTTATGCATAAAATTGTGTACAAATTTTATACTATCATTTACGTCATTGCAGCCAACAAAATTTTCAATAAATAATCCATTCATTAATTTTCCCTATGTCTAGACAATGTATTTTTGCTTTTTTTCCCCCCTGAATTAATCTTATTTCCGCACAATTTGATTGATATAAGCCTCTCTAAGCCCCACCTCTTGCAGTAAATCTTTATGTGTTTACTTCTTTTTCCACTTCTCCTTCCTCTTTACAGAACTCAAAGGCAGAATAAAAATTCAAAATTAAAGCAATCAATGTCAATTCCCGATCCTTTGATGGTTAAAAAAACAAAAGGGTAATCCAGATCCCTTTGAAGTCTCGGATAAAAGAATTAAGCAACGTAACGTAGCATCAAATTCAGTAGTTCCAAACCAGAAAAAGATCAAGGGGAAAATTAAAGCAGGAATCATTAATCAAAACCAGATGAGCGTTGGCTAGCTCATGACAAATTAAACAATTAATTAATAAAGCATAAGTTGTATAACTCACCGTGACTTTCTGCAACTATAACTCAAATTCAACAGCTTCAAATTCGGAAACCACTCTGCAAAAGTTGAGTGCCAAGCTGATAGCTAGATAGCTGCCGGAGAGCAATGAATAAGAGAATTCATGAATATTGAAGGAAAGAGGAGTTTGAATTGAAGTTCATAAATCAGAAAATATGGATGAGGGTGGGATAATTGTGGTACTTACATACCAAGAAGCGATCTGATGAGGCGTTGTCTCAGCTCAAGCACTGACCTTTGTTGAAAGAGTAAAGAACCGTAGAGAATGAAGAGGCCAATGTATATAGGTCCCGTCTTATTAGTTTAATTTGAGTTTGTTTTATGATTTAATGTATTTGTTTTTATTTTACCCTTAATTATTTATTCAATCTCTTTTGTCATATTTTTTCTTATCGTATTTCCCCACACATTCTTTTTCGTCTTTTTTTCATGTATCATATGGATATATTTAGAAACAAAAATATTTTTCTAATCTATTTATTGTTTTTCACTAATCTTATCTAATTGTTCCTTATCCACGAATTTTTGAAGGTCATAATAAAGATATGGATCGAGATAAATAATTGGAAATTTCGATGCATCTTCCATCGTCTAATTCATGAACCCCCTTTATAAACTTGTGATAATTTCCGTTTATTTTCCATCGTCTTATTCATTACTCCTTCCGTTTCTTATTATAAGAGACATTTGATGCTTATGACATGTTTCTATATATAAGAGACACTTAAAAGTTGTCTCTACTTTTTTGTGTTGATTTCCTATTTTACCCATATTTATTGTCTCCAACTCACACTCTCTCTCCCTCCCACTTCTCTTTCTTTTAATAATTTAATTGTTTTCTCTCATGCTCTCTCTTCTTATTAATGAGGGCATTTTTGGAAAGAAAATTATGCTTTTTACACATTGATTGTTCTTAACTAATTTTAACTGTTTTTTTTATCAACGTAATTCGGTTATTCGTCTCTTATAATAAGGAACGGAGAGAGTACTAACCTTCATTATGAGAATCTGAAAATTTCCACGCCTCTTCCGTTATCTTATTCGTTGACTTTCTTTATGGGTATATGGAAACGTCCACGCATCTTCTATCATCTTAGGTAGTGTGCTTCCACTGTCTTTGCCGTCGGTGCTCATTAGTAAGGAGGAGTATGGTGCTTATTGCTTTGTCAGATTACTCATGTTCGATTCATCTTGAACAACTTAATTTAATTTTCTGACTAAAGTCATTATTATTTTTCACGTTGAAAATTAAAAAATATATATGATTTTATATTATTTTTTAAACAAAATAATTTTAAAAGGAACATTAAAACATAAAATATGACTGAGACCATCTAATTTTAATTTAAACGATTGATATGAACAAAATATGCACAATAAGTATTAATGATGAACCCGCTCCACAATATTTCTTTAATTTGTTTAGCTACGAAATTTATTTATCAGATTTTAATTAAAACCTACACAAGCTTCAAGTTTAAAATATTCGGAAGACGATGCAAGTAACTTTCCTCTTCTTTTTTTTTTTTATACAACTTAAAGTTGAAATATATAAATTTATTTGTCATATATCAATTTCTTATTTGTTGGCCAAATAATAGTCAACAAAGAGCGTAGTGCTGTTTCTTTCCGTTGTATCAGGGAAAAAAAAATAAAGGAAAGAAAGAGGAACGCACTGCTCTTGTTAGTCAATAATTGAACAGTCTGTTAAATATTCATTTGAACATAGTAGCGTGCAAAGCTTGTTCGGGTGTGTTTCCAAGCAGTTTCCTGAAGTTCGATCAGCTGAGGTTGAGCTGTGCAGCTTTTCCAATGACCCTGCGAAGATGATTACACGGGTCTATTTTAGATTTCAAATTAAGAAAAACCTAAAAATCAATTAACTTTCTTAACTCATAAATTTAAGTATTATTTAAAGTTTAAAAAATTTGAAATTCATAGCCAATGAGTAATTATGTTTATTTGAACTTATTGGTTGAATTATTTGAATTTATTTCAAATTTTAGCTGTGTGTGTGCGCGCATGCATGTATTAACTTGAAATGTTGATAATGAAAAAATAGGTTTTACTGTATATCTTAGGTAGTTTGCTATAAGTTCAGAGAGTGTTTGGGTAACCTAGTAAACACTTTTCAGAAATGTTTTTTCACAAATCGAGACAAATTTCTCCATATATTTATCTCATATACTGTAAAAGCATTTCTGAAACTATGACTTTGATCTTACCCAAATACCCTTTTAAATGAATACTGTCCAAAAACTCACATGCATCAATTTGTCTGGCATCCTCTGTTTTGTAAATGATTATTGTTTGTTTGCTGTACTTCATTTTTATTTTCACTTGTCTCTCATCTGCATGTCAAAACAAAGGGAGCTTACAACTTGTTAAGCCTCTCTTTTTTTTTTTTTTATCTTTTAATTATAAGGATAAGCACTAAGAATTAAAGGAGGGAACATGTGACTTCCCGCTTGCAGGGGAGGGCCCTCCGTAATTGATAAGCCCCTCTGAGGCCCTCTGTTACGGTAAATTTTTTATTTATTTCTTTCTTCCTCCACCTTTCCATTCTCTTAACAAACCAAAAGCAGAATAAGAAGCTCAAAGTTCAAACCAAGCACAATAAACCTTTCAAACTATTTCCAGCAAAGTACTTTTTTTTATATAGTTATTATAAACTTTAAATAACTAATTTGATACTATAAAAAAATAGTTAAAACAATAAATAAATTAGAAATATACTTTTATTTTTAAATATGTCTTTATAATAAATAAGAAAAAAATAAAAAGAAACGTATAGCGTAATGTGATAAGACAGTATGATAAACAAAAGAGAGTAAATAATTAAAGATAAAATTAAAAAATATATTAAATATTAGAATAAACTCAAATTAGAGCTTATAAAATGAACTACCCCCTCTTTAAATCATTTGAAGCTTATAAATAGGAATAGATTGAGTAATCCACTGCCAACACTATTATAATTAATTATTTCCAAAAGGGCTGATGCTTTACCTACGCGTAAACGATTGGTGTTTCCGTTGCATGTTCCCTTCCGTGATGCGGCATCGTTTCGTTGTTAGGCTGACTTCTTTTTTTTCCCGACGTTGACCCAAAATTGATGCTTGTTCCTTTTCCTGATCTACTCGAGCTTGTGAACTGCGATCACTCAGAAAGCACTCCTTCCATCTCAAACAGCTGGCTTTCATCTTTTCATCTCTGGTCCAAACCAGGTACAATTTACTCTTTACTCGTTCTTTTCCTTATAAGGTTTTAATTAAAACATTCCCCGGATTTCTTTGTTGGCCCTCTTCTATTTTTCCACTTGAAATTTAACTATGAGATTCATTTCTTCTAAGACGAACAGCTCAGAATCTTGTTCTCCTCCTGCTGGAAATATAATCACAAGAATACTTGCTTCGAGATTGTAATTTATTTTTCTGTCTTGCAAATCCCAACATGATTCCTTTCCTTATAACCCCGACATGTCTGTTTTATTGAATGGATTCCTTAAAATATTCATTGATAGTATTTATGAAACTCGTAGATTGATTACTTTTTTTGCAAAAGAAAAAGTTATAGAAATTTAAAAATAGGTGCTCAGTATCGTATCATATTATACATGTGTATTTGCGGCTGAGATGCACATACGTATTCCATACATGCACATGCGTGTACAAACACATCACAGTTAAATGAACATACAACATGTTTAGATCGTGTATGGAATTCTATACCGCGCACATATCTTCCTTAACATCTTCAGTTGAATCTTTAATCATTCCAGGAATTTTGAGATTTCGCCATGAATGGGATCAGAAACACAGTCTCTGCTCTAGGAGAGATGGGAGGTGAGCTGGTCACGCAGGTTGCATTGGAGGTTTCAGGAGATACATTCAAAGACAAGCTTCGAGCTTTCACTACTGATTTGGAAGACAAATATGAGGACTTACAGCAACGAAGGCTGTTGCTACATGCCTTGAGAAAGGACCTAGAGAGGGAAGTTCAAAGATGTAGAGAGAAAGAAACCACAAGTTCTTACAGCTTATGGATCACTAAGGCATCAGAGGTTGATGAAGAAGTGAATGATTTGGTGAGTAGATATGAAGCAGCAAAGCAAGCTTCATACGGATTTTTGCAACGACCAAGTCTGTCTTCAGAGGTGGAAGAAAAGCTTAAAGCAATTAAGGAACTAGTTGAACAGAAAAGTTATATGGTTTTTCAAGTTGACAAACCTCCAGAGCGTGTCTTAAAAGTGTTAAATGCTCCTCGTATTGCAGGTTATCCTACCCTACAAGGTGCACTGGAAAAAGTTTTGGAATTGGTCAAAAATAGTAAAATAAAAGCCATTGGAGTTCATGGACTGAAAGGGGTTGGGAAAACAGCGATAATGCAGAATTTGAACAACCATGAAGAGGTTGGCAAGTTGTTTGATATTGTCATTTTCGTGAGGGTCCCGGATGATGAGATTCATCTCCAACAAAAAATTGCAAGGCGATTGAAGGTCGATGCCAAAGGGATCAATGACACTGAAGATATTGCCAGAAAAATACACAAAGATCTGAAGAATAAGAAGTACTTGTTGATTTTGGATGGAGTGGTGGACTCTATTGATTTGAGTCAGCTGGGAATTCCAAACAATGACAATTACAGTAAGGTTGTGGTGACCGCTCAACATAAACAGGTTTGCACCTTGAATGATGCAGACAGGTTGATCAAGGTTGACCAATTATCTCGTGATGAGGCGTGGAAGATGTTTCGAGATACTGTTGGTCCTATAATTGATCGGCCAGACATTCCAGAGATTGCTCAACGTGTATGTGACAAGTGCTCTGGTCTTCCACTGCTAATACATAAGATAGCGCGATCTTTCAAATTGAAAGGGAGTGCTCCAAGCTGGAGGGCCGGACTGGAGGATCTTGAAGAACGATGGCCAGATTATGAAAATGAAGGCGTGAACGAGTTGTACTCATTCTTGACATTCTGCTATGACGACTTGAAAGATGAAAAGAAACAGAAATGCTTTCTGTATGCTTCATCGTACCCTGCTGACAG